TTTTATTTTATTTTTAGTGCTTGGTTGAGAAATGAAGATTCATCAGTCGTTTCTCGTTTATCTCGATTAATTGAAGCTGTAACAAATTTAAGTATGAGAACAGCTGAAGATCTTCAGGTATGTGAATAATTAGAGAATATCAAAATAAAATTAAGTATAAAATAATTAGATTGCAAATTATGGTGTTGGTGGTCATTATGAACCACATTATGATTTTGCACGAGTAAGTTATGACTATTTATTTATTTAATTTAGTAAAAAAAAATGTTAAATTTAGAAATCAGAGAAAGATGCGTTCTTAGGTCTTGGCGCCGGTAAGTTGAAATTCTATATGAGAAATTATAGCATAAGTTTTTGTTTTCTAGGAAATCGTATTGCTACATGGTTAACTTATGTAAGTTAATTGCATATTATTAGAAATTAGTTATAATAATAATAAATGTTTCTAGTTGAGTGATGTCGAACAAGGTGGTGCAACAGTTTTTCCTGTCGTTGGTGGTCATTTGAAACCAAAAAAAGGAAGTGCTGCATTTTGGTATAATCTTTATGCATCGGGTGAAGGTTAGATAACCACTTAATTTTATTTTTTCTGATATATATATATAATCAATAATTTCTATCTTTTCAGGAGATTACAATACTCGTCATGCAGGTATTTTTTTAATTTTCTTTCTTCATGTATTTATTTTCTTCTATTAGCTTGTCCTGTATTAATTGGAAATAAATGGGTTGCAAATAAATGGATTCATGAACGTGGTCAAGAATTTCGTCGTCCATGTTTACTAGATCCAATGGCATAAGTAAATCATCTATTGATACAAAATTGACAATTAGGATTTGCAAATCTCGGTGTATATTTAAGTTAAAATCAAATCGATGATATCAGCAATCCAAATGTCACAGGGAAAATTCAGGTTGACCAATTATGTTTTTTGTCATAGTGAATATTAGGATTTAGTTTCCTTAGTGTGAAGCATTTATAATGGTAGAACGAGAAATGTGTGTTTTTCTTATTTCTATTAATTTTTTGTTTATTTGAATAAATGAATTTTTTACTTTTATCAATTGACATAGATTCGTTTATATCAGACATATGCATAAATATTTATATAATTATTATCTATTGAGTAAACTAATATAATAGTAGTTGAATGCTAAAGACTGTTATGTTTATTGTAAGATTAATGTCATTATGATCATTAAGAATTGATCTTATTAATAGACAAAAAATATGTCTGGTATCCTAAATAAGCTTGAAGAATATCATAATCAAATGAAAACAGAGAGTATGTATATTGACTGATTTTATACAGCAAAATCAAATATATATGAAAAAGATTTCTAATATAAATTAAGAGGATATATTTCATATAGACATATTCATAACTTTTATATCTTTTTTAATCTTGACTTGATCGTATTGTACAAAGTCAATGGTTAGAATATAGACATTTTTTCATCGTATATATAAAACAATATAGTTTGTGAAGATTTTAAAATAAAGTAGAAAAATAGAAATTGTCGATTCTATATCAAACACATACTCTTATATTTTCTCAATGTAACTTACATTGGAAAAAAAGATCTCAAACACAGTTTTATCAATTGAAAAACATACTTGATCGTTTCCAACTTTGATTATCTTTACAATAATGATATATAATCAAAGTTTAGTAATCGAGAAAGAATGGCAGATAAAATTGACTGAACAATTCCATACGGTACTTACATAATGTCCTATGCTAAAATATTTTAGTATCATAAAAATATTGAGAAATCTTATGAACACAAATAAACTCATTATTTTATGAAAACGATTTTTTTATAAACAACAATGACGCACATATGCAATAATTATTGCGTAACAAGTAATACTTGTCTGCACTCGACAATGACGTCCGCAGAATTATTTTTAACCATGATTAGAATATATGTTCGCAACACTTATTTAATGTATGAAGATACTTTTGATTATCGTTTTGAATGACGTCCAAAAGGTTATTCTTATCGATGTCATAATATTGATGTGCGCATAACAATCAATGTCTGTGTATTATAATTCTGTTTCTCTTTCGATGATGTAATAAGCTATGTTTTTTTCGATTGTATTTTTGTGGTTATAAATAAACCAAGCAACTTTCTTCAGTTCGTTAAGTGCGTAATTTTATATATTGGACTTGCACCTTCTCTCTCACAACCGATGTATATATACAAGAGAGAATATCATTCAAAAATATTAACAAAATATATGTGTAGTTATTCGTCTGTCGATTTGCATTTCTGTTACAATGAACACTTTCAACCTGATGAATATGAAGACAGTTGTTTATGTCACTCTTTTGGTGGCATTCATACAAATATGCTGTAGTACGGTATCGGCTCAAAACAATAGTACAACTACTACAACTGCTGGAACTACCACAGCTACGAGAACTACAATGACCACTGCTCGAAATAATAGTACAACTACCACAGTTGCTGAAACTACTACGACTACTGCTGGAAATAGTGGTACAACAACTACAACTGCTGGAACTACTACGACCACTGCTGGAAATAATGGTACAACTACCACATCTACT